CGGTTGAGTCCACTCTCCAAGCTCTAAGCATTCAATAATAGATTCGAATCGTCTAGGTGCTTTGATTGGGAACCAAGAGATTTCAGGCATGTTGAAGTCCCCCAAATAGCCTCACCTGTAAACGGTAGGGATGAAACAAACCTGAATACTTCTGACAATAATGCTAGGTCTCCTGTTGGTGCATTAGGCTGTCAGTAGACACAGCCGAACAGTAAGGAAACTACATCTGAGGGTTTCAAAACGATGCACACGGAATCTGGCAATCTGTTTAGTTCCGATATATCACATAAGAGTGGGTTTAGGCTAGAGTGGGCATATATGAGGCATCTTCCACCTCTTCCTTGTGACCTATTACTTCGAAAAAGATCATAGTTTTCAAGAGATATAGTAAGATCAGAAATATTACTGGAGGTCCATGCCTCAGTTATTATTATAAGTGATGGTTGGCAAATAGTCGTAAACATGACTAGATCTGTCTTTTTATTACAGATCGGACGATCATTAAAAATACATATATTAAACAAATGTCCTGCTAAGCTAAAATAGTTTAGGGTATCTTGAGTAAAGGAGTTACTATGACCTAAGTGGTTGTGGTATGAGGAGTTAGGGGGGACATGTTAAGTTAGTTACTGAAATTTACAGGAGGGTTCGTTAGCCCGGGGGAAACAGGGAGAACGTTGCATGTTTGAGATTGTGCGAAGGGAGTGCTTTTATACTCTGCATGTGGTATGAAATGACTTGAGCTATATGTCGCGCAAGTGGCTGCACCCCAAAAAAAGTTTGCTTAGGCTGGCATTGCAGTGCACCATCGTTTCTAGTAATGTCTTGATGGCACATCTCGTTACTAAGGCTATATTTATTCTGGATGGTTTTAACTTGGAGAGGGTTTGCCGTGTATGGGTGTCAGTTGTTATGACCTCTTCTAAATTTGGGGGTCATGTTTACCAGCTGGCTTGGTAGAGTAGGATGCACCGAGTATTGTTTATGAACGCTTTTGCGAATAAGAGCCTGGTTATTAAAGATATGGTGGGGGGTGAAAAATCTTCTACTTCCAGAGTCACTAATAAATCTCGGGTTTTGTGGTTGTGCAGTGTATCTAGCTCTTGGTTAATAATTATTTTTGTGCATGATCAGATGTTGGTCTGACATGTTCTTATTATTACCAGTCTTAAAACTTAGGGTGTCTAGGGGTACATCACATGACATTAAAGGGGTGAACCTGTTCGTCGAAGCTGGGAAAGTCGCAGGCGGTCGGCTTTGAATCCTACCAATTTTTTTATTTGAGACCCAAGATTTAGTCTGTTAACTGTTATTAGTTAAAGATGGAGGGCGTTTGGATCCCCCAGACGTGTTTTTCGAGAAAAATTCAGTTTTTTTTCGAATACTCTCGTGTAATATATTTTGGAGATCTAGTATCTAATTTTATAATCTTACCTGGAACTGTGTTGCTTTTTGGGGTATATTCAAGCAGTTTAACATTCAAACAGCCAGGATTAGAAACACGAGTGTTGTCAGACTTTTCGGTGACAGTCGGGATTCGTACTTGATTTAAAAATTTAGAGTCGCTTTGTACATTCCATCTTTAAGAAAACAATGAATCTCGTGAAAAGTTTCAGTAACTGTATACCGTTTTAAAAAAAATATGTTGCTAATCTTAACATTTTGATCTTGCCTGTAAATTGGCATGTCTCTTGTAACATGTTTGTTATTTGAGAATAAATTATTATTATTATTATTGTTACTCACCAAGATCTACCGGGAGGTTTATGTGTTTATTTATACTTATGACATTGGCAGTTGTCTCCAGTAAATTGTTTGTTGTGAGACAGTCGCGCTATCTTGTCACCTCTCATCTTTTTATACGACGTTGACATTCAGTTAGATTTGGAGTAACCTTTATGTTGATGTGCTGATATTTTTGCTCAAATGAATAAAACTTTTGGCCTCATTGCAGCAGCTGAATTCGAACAAAACGGCGCAAGTTGGTAAATCCGATTTTTTTGTGAGGCGTGTGACTTGACTACACGCTTGTAGACAGTTATCACTTAGCGAAGTTGAGGTCAGGGAGGTTATATGCAGTTGCATTGCAGGAAGACATTAGTCTCTTCGTAACTCCCTCAGCCACAAATTCTAAGATGCATTCGGCTTTGATTAATTCCTCGAGGTTCCTATTAATAGTTGAGGTCCATTTGTGCGTGAGGGGTGCTAACAGGTTAAGCTTGTCGTTAATTTGGGCAAGTGAATTTTGCAACTGTCGTATCTCGGTGTCATGGTTATTACTTCTTTAATCGGTTTCGGAAGGATCATTCAACCCCTTGGTTTCTGAAGTTTCAGATTTCGGCTTCACAAGATTATGCTGAAGTTTATTCTGTGCAGACGTTTCGGTATACGTAGGTATAGTACCTCTTATATCTACGAGTTTCACCGTTGATAAACCTAGTGAAGAGTTGTGACACAGATAACTGGCTTGGGATGATGAAGTTTGTTGATAAGACGCACAGGGTTTATAAGACGGAGGTGTGACTCTTCCAATATTAGATTCATCAGACATACGGTTGACTGATTTTGATCTTTTGGGTGGTGGTTAGAGACTTTTCTCTTCTACTCGAATTATTGGTCATAATAGAAAATTGAGTGTGATAATTGCTTGTTTAATTAACGCAGATATATAAGGGTGTAACTTGTTGAGTGTTAATGGGGTTCGTTCCAAAGTTGCTAAGGAATTCAAATCCTTGGTGCGATTCGTTTGCTACAACACCATGTCGCATTGATTCATTTTGATACTTAGGTTTGATAGCTGCTCGGCGTCATTATAATCAACGATCTCAAGATGAAACAGCTCTTCCAACGTTTCCCTAGCTTTAACGTGAGATTGCCTGAATAGCTTTTTGAGTATCTCTTTAGACATTTTATATCTCATAGACGCTTCTAACATCACTCAACTTTTGAAGGCTGTTCTAGCCTTACCCTGGCGGTAGTGAATCAAATAGAGTAAACGCAATCTATCGTCATCAATTCGAGATTCGACATAAGTTTCGAATTTATGCATAAATTTCCGGTATACACGAGGTTGTCCATCAAAGTAGCTTAACTCAACCCTTGGTAATTCTAAGCCTACAACCCCTATCTGATAAGGACCGTGTCGATTTAAGTAAAACAGGGCACTCGCTTTGTAATAAAAAGTTCTTATTTCTTTTTGTCTTCATGGCTTCCAACCAGACTTGAACTTGACTTCTTTTTACGAGAATTCATTGTAATATCTGAAATTCAGGAACAAGAAACTCCAAAATAGTGATAGTGAATACGGTTTTAAACGCAAATCTACCAATATTTACCAGACTTTAAAATTCACTGGTTCTGTATTTTTGAACTATTGTTGAAGGCTGGAAAAACCAAAAGATTCTTCTTCTTTAAATATTGTTTATAACTGTAAGAGTTTTAGAGTGGACTCTGAATTCGGAATGATAGTTCTAGACTTTTAGATATACGCCCTTCTCAGGTAATCCAGAAAGAAAGAAATTTATCTGGGTAAGAAACGGTTCTATTATTAATTAAAAGGTATGGATAGCTACCTAAGCAGTATTACGCTGATCTCCTTCCCAATTAACACAATATGCTTCCAATTCCGGAAGAATGCTTCCGTTTAGGTCCGAAATCGCACCCTTCCAGTCCTGATGTACGTTTCAACCGTCAGAGTATCAAATTCGATATGGTCGTAGCCATAATTAAGTACGAATTTAAACAACATAATACAGTTCAGTAGAAAACAGAAACTCCAGTAAAGGTACGAAAAATAGAAACCATAATAAAATACAAATATTGACATCCCTAAATGGGATTAAACAGACCATCAAAATGTATCACAGAAAAACTCAGTAAGAACATATTACAAATATGTAAATGGAGGGATTTTCCCAAAACGAAACCTTCAAAATGGATTGTGCAACGCGCATGCCCGATCGCGAGGGTTGCGGACATGGACTTCACAGACCCACTAGAATATTGGCTCAGAAACTACTTTGAGAACACAAAGTTTCGTACCAACCTGAATAGAGTGCACGCGAGTTGACCAGTTTCAAAACTGGGAATTTCATATAAGACCATCTAAAGTCCACTTCTCTTCCCGATACTTAATACCGACCTGTTGGACGTTGTTGTCTCAGCGGCATTGATCTACGCAGACGATGCAAAGATCTTTAGGTCTATTGGAAGTGAAGAGGATTCATCTGAGTTTCCAAACAACATTACGTCCATTGAAGAATCGGCAGTGAAATGAGGATTAAAACGAAACCTGCCAAAATGTCACTTCATGTACATTCTGCCGCACATGACGCAAACAATTTACACCCTCAATGGAAGTCCGCTCCCTGATGTATCCTCAGAGCACCATCTCAGTTTGATAAACACTGAAAGCCTCCACACAAGTTCGAACTATATTTGGGATGCACGCAAGGCAAGTGAAACTCTTCACCTCATCAGTAGACATCTTGGTGCTATCACCCCTGAATTATTCTTGATGTTGTTTAAGACATACGTGCGCTCACACCTGGAGGTTCACAACGTCATCGCACCCCGTCTCCTTAAAAAAGACACAAATCTCCACATTGAAACTAACTGATCTCCGAACTGATAATGTGATTGGTGCTCGTATGCAGAAACCCTACTGTCCTGAAACAAACGTATTCATACAAATCACGGGACATACAAACTCACAAACATCTACCAAGTGACTAGAATTAAACAGTCGAGTGTCTAGACCCTCACTCATTGGACACGATCAAACACCTGGAACCACATCGAAAGAACAAGAACTGAGAGCTAAGAAACCGATTGTTTTATACTAGCTAATGAAAGAGATATTGGATGTTGTATTAGTTGTTGGAAAGCGGCCAACTCAATTTTCTCGTAATCTCGGACAGAATGGTAAGTCCCCAGTTTTTTTTAGTAGTTTCTTGTTTTTAAGACTAATTATATTATAATAACTGAGGTGTTTTTTTTAGGATTCCGGCATAAAGTGTCATGCATCTTGTGTTCTCGCTTACAATGATTTAAAAATGAACAAAAAATGCCGTTACCTCTTGTTTCATATTGATAAAATGCAAGAAATCCGTCTAATGAAATCAGCTGAAAGAGGTTGGTATAGAGCTACATAGTTTTTCACCGTAACCGTTAGATGCAACGCTTGAAGATCTTACTAATGACTTCAAGGAAGCAATGAATAAAAATGAGGGTCGGTACGCGGTATATGACTATGAATACCCCAATAAGGGTTCAGCTTTAGTTTTTGTTATCTGGTATGTTTTTTATTTGTATCCATATTGGTTTAGGACCCCAACAACTTTGAGCCCTAAAACAAATATGTTATATGCAGCCTCAATGGATGCCATAAAATCGCAGTTCCAAGGAATCAAACATACCTTGCAAGCACATGACCTGTGTGATATTAGTGAGGAGAGTTTCAGAGAGAAGGGTCAATTGAAATGAACATGCTATGTTAATGGAACTTGGATTTGGATAGTTTTGTAAGCATCACATTCCCTAACTGGATTTTGTTTTTTTTTTCTAATTGATTCTACTTATTTCTTGTATTTGATTCCCAACTACGGTTTATACTTTGTATTTATATGGGGCCTGAAACCAGAGTGTTACTTTTACGGTCTAGATGTTTTTGTCTCCAGTCACTTGTTGTCAATAAAATTTTTGGAAGTGTGTTAATTTTACTGACTCAACCAATTCTTTGTTATCATTTACAAAATACTTTTAGACATTTAGTTGAGTTCTTTCCTACATGTGGTATCTATCTATTTAGTCCTGACTGTTATGCCTTAATGTTTAAATGCAGGTCGTAATCATTGCGATTCGCCGCTTTTGTGTACTCAGTCAGTTACAACGTAGGACTTCGTACGTACATAGGTTTAGGTTGACATACCGCATTAGCACAGAGATACGATTGTCAGTAAAAACTCCATAGGGGTAGTAGAAATATAAGTGGTAATAGTGATGATTACGTTTCAAAGATATTACTCAAGAAGTGTAATTCAGTGAGATAACTTTAGAAAGATAGAGGTGATGAGTAATTTAGGAGATTAAAATTTGAGAGAACACAAGAAATGGATGCACCTGCGCCATTTCAAACGATTATGAGCCATTGCACTCAAGGTCTAGCTATCGGTTACTTGCAACACCAATTACGTTGACAGTTCACCATAATCTCTGACTCGATGCCTTAAGTTCGAGGAATTCAACTTTCATCGGACCTCTGGGTGTGCGTTCTAGGACCTGACGTAGTGTGAATATTTGGCCTATACATCCACGTCTACAATGTGGATTGTACAAATCTATTGTCATTGTTGGCAGTACATCAGTATTTGGAACTAAAGGGCACTAAAATAGAGTGGCGCCACACAAGAAGAAAATGAAATTGTAAAGAGATAAGAGGATTAAGATGAGTATGATGAAAAACAATAACGAATAAAAGTCAACGGATGAGCGGCGAATAATGAAAGAAGCAGTTCATTTAAGAGAAATACAACCATTTGGAATTCTTTAATTTAAAATAGCTATTCTGGTAGTTACAAAGAATGCAAAGCAGAGTTGCCAGTGGTTTATATTCTGAGCTATGTCTGTTAACGTCAGTTACACTATTTGCGTCACCCTAACCAGGGAGCCGTGAGGAACTGAACTGGTAGATGACAGTTCTGTTCAGCTTTCAAACACACTAGTACCATTTTATAAAGTGAACATCTCCGCTTTTTTCAAAGTCAGCGTTGGCAAATAGAATACAATTTGGAACTCTCCTGAACAATATTCACCAGATCTTGTTTCAGAGTATTAACACCGAATTTTCGTCACTGTGTCCGAACGCACATTACCGAACGTCCACATTTCTAATGTGGGGTTGCTGGTGAGTGTTAAAAACCCTTGAGAGATCATGGTGATATGAAAGAGAGGGTTTTTTGCTAACAGCCTCAACTCGTACAGTCTAGGTTTCCAAGTACAGAGCAAAACCACCGTCATTAACGCGTTGCAATTCCAATTAACATTACAACACCTCCAAAGGTGCCCTGGTCTCTGCGTAAATTGACCTCATCAGTGACACCAGCACCTGCTCAGATACAAGAACTTTTCGATTACTTCAAAGGGTAGGTGCAGGCACAGGCTCTTGCCAGTATTGTAATAGTACTTTGCCTTTACCGTACCTACGGACACTATTGATGTAGGGGAAATATCATGCTTTGTCTATCATAACATGTCAAGGAAATATTATCCACATGCTCAATGTCAACAATCTTTGTTCAAGTAACAAATCCACACCATCATTACATACTTCTACCAGAGTTGTTTACAGGATGTCATACGGTTTTACCGTGTAATGTACAATAAGTTGTGGTCAGTCAGGTAAAATCATTAGTTTGCACACAATAACTGTGGTAACCTTATGCCTTGGAGTTAGCTTACTTCAATGTAGAGAATCCTAGTGTTGATGTTAGACATTTGAATGTAGGAATTTATTGCAGAAGTTTTTAGCTTCGAATAATCAACTTTAGTCCGTGAAATCTATTTTAGTTTTTTCGAAACGTCAACAAGAAAATCATATCCTTGTAAGAATTTGTGTGCATGTGCAGACACTTTTCAAGTGTTTATCTAATTGGAACAACTATTGAAATTATCTGCATTAGTCAATCAATCGTAATCACTGTACAGCTTGGTCGAAATGTGGGTCGGCCTAGGTCGCCATATTATTTTAGCACGTTGAGATTAAACTATAAACTGAATCATTGAGCGGTTAGGATAGTCGTAGTAGCGATAGTATGTAGAAAGACTATAAACAGGAAATACATTTTGAAAAAACGGAATTGAGATATGTGCTTAGAGGAATATGAAAACAAAGTCTAAAAGAAGCAGATGAATGTAGGCACTTAGATGACTGTGATCGATTCTGAACCTTGTCACCTACCTAACTTAGTCGACGATGGTAGCAGCTAAACATACGTAATACGTGTCTCAGTCACATCAGTCGATTTGGCATATTTGCCTAGTATTCTACGCTTAACTTCGTCATTACTCATTCGGTCGTTTCACTTTGCTCAATTAAGTACTCGAAAAATTTATGAACAAAAGACTTTCATTCTAGTCATGGTCGTAAAGCGATACACATCTGATATATGAGCAATACATTACCCCTTCGGCAGGTAGACATACATGTCGCCTTCGACAAAAGTGGAGCGAGTTGGTTAAAACTAGGAGAATATTTTGACTCTTCTAACGTAGACCTTGGTACGTATGTACATCAGTCCAAGTTGCCACACCACATTAGCACTGAGAGATGGAATTGTCAGTTTGAACCCAAGGGTGGCAGAGGTAATAGCAGTATTAGCAATAATGTAAAATATTAGGGTCCGAGAAGTACTTCCCAGTGATATAAATTGGAAGGAAGAAAACGATCATGAGGAATTAGGAAGATTAGAATTTCAGAGAATATAAAGAAAGGATGCACCTGCTCCACAGCAAGCGATTTTGAGCCTTGTCATTCAAAGTCTCCAACAGTTGCGATTGTCTCGCGGACCCAAACCTGGTGCACGAAGGGTTGTTTCTCTATCTTAAAAAGGCAAAGTCGACTGTACTGTCCGACCAAACGGGACAGTAAGGACTCGTAAAGAAAGCGACTCTCCCCGTTGCCTTTTCGTTGTTTCTACCCACGCCCCCCCTGAATGCAGCTCAGATGAGGTAGAAGATGAGTTTCACAGAAAGCTTCCGGACCTCGTCCGAAAAAGTTAGGTGCTCTGATATAGTAATGGTGGCTGGTGACTTTAATGTCCAAGTAGGTAGGCTAAGTGACAAGGAAAGACACGTGGGGGGATCCCATGGTGTCGTGGCTTAAAAACAGGTAATAGTGACCGTCTGCTGCAACTGTGCTCAGATAACCGCCCATTTCAAGCAAATACTAAGGACAAGGATAAACATCTTTTGACATAGCGACCCCCAAAGTCGTCCTAACGCTGCACCCAACTAGATAGCGTATCTATCAGCCACATGTCTAGATTCAGATCATGCTCAAGCGCGAGCGTGTATTGTTTGAAGCTTACTGGGCGTAGTAAAGACCACAAGAAAACTTCTTAAGTTTCTACTCAATGACAGCAAAACCAAGAATATATATCAGTGAAGTGAGAAAAGAGGAGCTAGTTGGTAATCCTGGCAAACACCACTTAGGGTTTATGATTCTGTAGTTGATAATTTTTGATTGCGCACATTCGATAGGTTATTTCATTACCATAAATATATTTGTTCTGATTTTAAAATGTTCTATGGTAGTTGATGTGCTTTCGCAGTAAAATTATACTAATTATTTTTCATTAGTGGCTGGAAACTATTTATTAAGTTTGATCACATTGGTTACTGTAATATTGCTAATTTCTATACATTGGCCAGTTGGAATGTAATAATAAATAATCTGTCTATCTTATCATTGTCGTGTGTTAATTATTGAGTTTTATAGATACGAATGAATTTTTTCAAGTGTTTAGTGTGATTGGAGTGTCTGAAGACACCAAATAGTTAATCTTCACTATGATATTGATTGTTTGTGATCTGATAATTTAACTTGACCGATCTATATTGGCTGGAACCTATGTTCCTGTAGGTCCTATCATGCCAGACAGGTCGGTTGGAGAACGATGAGACTAAAAGCAGCTTTTCAAGGTCTGAGAGCGAAGTCGTACTGCTGACTGTAGAGAGGTGTAACAGCACTGAGGTGTTTCCCTCGGACAACCAGCATCTGCAACGATTCTGCCCTCCTACAATGAAGGAACGGGTTAGAAAAGGTTGACCCTAAAAATGTCACCTCACCTTACCTCACGGATTTCTGTCTCCAGCGGTAAAGCCTTTTAAACAAGAACGGATCAAACACTTCAAATACTTCTCATAAAAAGGCCGTGCGTGACCGGCCTCAAACACTTTAGGGATCAGTTCAACTGGCCTCGTGTCACTCTTCGATTACACACGATCTCCAGTCATCCTGAATGTCAGATAGACGTAGGTCCCCCTAGTCTTCATGAAGTTGAGAAAGCTTTAGGAAATCTGAAGTGAGGGCGAGCTGCATGTCCTGATAGACTGACCCCTGAGATATTTAAGGATCGTGGTCCAGTTTTAGCAGCTAGGTTGACTGATATCTTAGGTAGAATCTGGGAACTGGACGTAATCCCATCCGAGTAGTCTCAATCACTGATTGTCCCAATTTATAAGAAAGGGCACAGGGAAATAAGTCTAACTAATATAGTATCTAAAATATTGGCCTCAAAAATACTCTGACGTCTAACTATAGCCCATGAAGATTAGACTAAAGAAAACCAGGTTGGTTTCATATCCAGATGTGGATGTATAGACCACATCTTCACACTACGACAGGTCCTGGAACACAGACATTCATTTAGGCGTCCAACAATAGTCGTCTTCTTGGACCTAAAGGTGGCATTTGACTCTGTAGATCGTGAGGTTCTGTGTCAGTGTTTGTCATTGAAAGGTGTACAAAAGAAGTACATTAACCTTATACAGGCTCTTTACTCGAACACTGCCACTCGAGTTAGAGCTTATGGTAAACTGTCATCGGATTTGATTAATTGAAGTGGTGTCTGCCAGGGATGTCCACTTTCTCCATTCCTGTTAAACTTTGTTGTAGATATGCTTTGAGAGGTAATATTATCATCGTCAGGAGTGGACCTTCTACCAGGAGACACGCTTGCTAACGTAGAGTGTGCTGATGACATAGCCCTATTCAGTGAAGACGCTGACAAGATGCAGTCTTCTGACTACCCTAAGAAATAATGCAACCATGTTCGGGATGCG